GAGTATTTTTTCAGCGTTGCACCGAGACATGGCATAACCAAGGCTGAGCACAGCTACGCCATCAATAAATATGCAGTCCATTTGGCAGGCTATAATCCCAAACCTGGATTAAAAGCGCTAAGCGTCGGGAAGATCTCGAAAGTCCAAGCTTACCAATAACAACAAAGCTTGAATATTGAGAACTGGAGGCCATAAATAATCAGAAACTTGTAGCATGCGAATGACGTATGGAGAGCACCTCGCGCTTCACGTAGTGAATCTACCACAGCGTGGACCTACAAAGAAACATCAACTTTGCGCGATTGTTTCAGAAAAAAGCTTGAACTGACCGATTTGTTTCGGGCAGTAAATGGAGACACCACCGATGCTTCTGCAGCACTTAAAGCGATGCCGGCGTGAGCGGCCCTTAGCGCTCCACAATCGTTTCCACCGTCACCACACATTCCCACGATTAGGCCATGGTTTCTATGCATAGTTACCACTTTCTCCTGCAAGTCCCCAACCGCATGAGACTATTATCAAAGGGAACAAGATGAACCTTATCGGAAGGAGTGAATCTTGCGAAGATTCGTGTTTAAAGAAGTAAGTCGTCCATTCTCTTGGATTCTTGTAAGCGATTAAAAGCTTTACCCGTAACCGCAAGTTCCAAGGTCCCGTCCTCAAGTAAGCTCGCTCTACTTTGAAGTAGTTCTTCGGTGGTCATGCGGCTTATACCCGTTGTCACTTTACTACTCAGTGGAGACCATACCACGCTACAGAGACAAAGCTATCGTTAGAAAGATCTTTCATAAAGAATAAGACCAACCTGTTGTCGTTCGTTATATCAGCCAGTAGTATCTTACAGTCAGATGAGAACATACCAGATTGTTTAGCAATATAGTGGCCGCATTGAGCATTATCACCGGTAACCATCACGGGACGAACCTATAGACCAGGAGCATTTCGTTTTCCAGCGGAATCAATATAGACAACGTACCTTTCCAGCTTTGAGAGAATGAATAGCTGCAGAGCTATCCGGCTTGAGCTCGTTCCTAAACAAGACCAGAGATATAAAATTCAGGTCCTTCTCCAACTCATTCCTTGGTAGTGCTAACATGTCTTCAAATGCCAGTTCTCGGCCAAGGTATCTGCAAGGTTCAGGGAAGAAAACAGTATAAAAAGCCAGCTGCAAAACATGGAAGACTGAGGAAACAGCGTGCACCTGTAGCTTAAACCAAGAACATAACAACCTTGCAGAGCTTGAAGCCGTGCTCTGTCCTCGTAGTCCGCTGGAAGGCTTTGAGCGTTGCTCAGCTCCTTAATCTTTTCGAAAGAACCCTGCCATGCTTGAACGGAAATATTAATGAGCAAATGCTAGACGCAAGAACCTTGCAGTAGATGTGAAAGTTTCCAGAGTTGTCCTCCACAACAACACTCATTGTTGCTCTCGATTGATCAAACTCGTTTCGTCTCACGATTCTAAAGGTCCGTGATCCGGAACCATCTGAAACGACTGGGGGACTCTTTGCGGACTCTATCAAATTCCATCCACAGCTGAGAACATTTTCACCTGTCACACAAAAGATCATCCAGGCTTTTCTGGCGAAAATTACAAATTTACCTCAACCTGGTTTCCAACCAAGTCCTTTCCAAACTTTGTAACAGCATGACATGTGGCAAGTCCATGCAAAACAATATCATCAATTCTTTGACCACCTTCAAGTGATAAAACTGGTCCAAAGGAGTTAGTGACGACACTCTGAACTCCAACAAAATCGAGTCCCTCTTTTGTCAATGTCCCAGTTTTGTCAAAACAGAAAACTCGTATCTTCCCAGCGATAACCTATGCGCTTTGGATTGAGGCAAAACACCCCACGCTTCTGAAAGAACAACATAAGGAACTGGAAACAGGAGGTAAGAAGGCGTGCCTTTAAACTCTCCAGAGCGTGAATTTGTCCAACTTCAAGAGCGACCGGCAATAGTGGCGACATTATCTGATTTATGATGAACATACAGTAGATCCACTTTGTCACCCAAATACTCTGCTGTCCGTTCATGTTCTGGTCCACAATAGACGGAAATGATTTCATATAGAGAAACATGGATATATACCTGAAACTTTATATGGACACAACAAAGCATATGATAGCGTAGATAAAAAGAAGACAGGCAACGATTTGGAGCTCCTCATCGTACTTGAAGATGAGCTTTTGAGGGTACAAAATCGTCACAACCAGTTCGCCTTTGGAGGTTGACATACCTGGGTCACAGAAAAAACGCGTTCCTTAGTGAAAGAAAAAACCATGGCAGAAGGATATACCTGTCTCTGTGACAATTGCGAGAGCATCATCATGACTTGAGGTTGGGACTGGGACCGAGGGGCGTTGGGTGGGAGTGAGCATGGACTTGGTTGGTGCCGGAGGGGCCATCCAAGGAAGTGCTCAAGAGCAACTCCCACTCCCGAAAGGGAAACTGACTATGGTGCTCCTGGCTCATGTGGAGTGGTGCCCCACTTGAGTACCTTGTGGCTCATTAGTCCTCGCCCTTCCTAGGGGCTTGGACCTTCCCTTCGGGATGGAAGTGGGAGGGGGGGGTAGAGGTACCCATACCAGGCCGTGAGGCCAGGGTGTTTTGCCCCGGCATCCTCAAGCCGGTGTTGCACTCAAGACTTAGGATTTAAAGGGTCCCATGATCAAGTCTTGTAGTACCAAGGGATGTTAGGAATCTGCAGGTTTGGTGTGCTTAGCTACTTGTGCCTGCAGGGAGTGTTGCCGAACCTTAAGTTCAGTCTAACCCGGGGAGGGGGATTGGGAGAGATTTGGGAATCCGTGGATAGATGGCTAACGCTCCGTTGCTCGTGTAGTGAGTAGCTGAAATCAAGTATGACCAAGTAAGAGTTAATACCATAGGTGGGAACCTTAGCGAGGGAACTTAACTAAAGCCAAGGCGGTGTTGATCAGATAGACGAGGTAAGCTGGCAAATTGGAAATGAAAAATTTGTGGCTTACATTTAGAGTGTGAAATTGTGATGGGGCAATTTAAAGGGACAAAAGTTTTTATCCCACGTATCACACTAATACCATCAAATGCAGAAATTCCGTTTAAAATGTCCAAAAGACAATTTCCAATCCGTTTAGATTACTGCTTAACAATTTCTAAATGCCAAGGACAAACATTTGACCGAGTTGGAGTTTACTTGCCCCACCCAATTTTCACTCATGGGTAACTTTATATGGCTTTATCAAGATGCATATCACCACATGGACTTAGAATTAAAATTCAAAACACCACACACCAAGGCCACCTCCTTCCTCAAAATCCTTATGCTTTTACAATGAACACTGTTTATAAAGACATTTTATATTAAACCTCTCTGTAAACCACCCAACATTTGCTGGGCAAGTACTCCTTCTCTAGATATTAGTGCTATGTTGAATTTCCAAAACAAAGCAAGCCATAACATTTATAATGACTTTAATATTATAAATCGTAATGATAAACCTCAATAATAGAAACCTCTTTGTAAACTATAACCATAACCATAACTATAAGGCTATAAGGGTGTAACCATATCGATTGTCGTCAACTAAGAAGTAGTATTGGAAGTAAGCGCGGAGATTGCTTGCGCAAACACCTTGAAACTTCGACTGCTCATACCTTGGGCTTGTGCTACAGCGATCTCACCCCCGACCACCTCGGCCCGCTCGCAAAACTGGGCCTTTCCACTCCTCCGGTGGCACTCCATCAGCAGCTTCTTGGTGGTGTTCATCGCATACTCCCAGCAATTCTTGTCGTGATGGCTGTACTGCGGGTCATGATTCTCCAGAATCCTCATGAGCTCGTGCAGTTCCAGCGGCGTATCCTCACAATCGAAATTCAGCAGCTTGGCATTGGTATACTCGCCTAGACTGCGAACGAGGGTGATATTGATCCCGCATTCTTCGCCAGGGCCACACTTCTCGGCAAGGAAGAATTGCTCCACGCCCCCGACGACCAGCACAATCACCAGGAAGTCGTGGTTGATGATCGACTTTGGATTGATGCAGTTAGTGGCGAGGGCGGCTGTTGCTTCGATGGCGCCCTGCAAGCCCTTGGTCAAGCTCCTGGTGAAGCCGTTTGTGAGGCCGGATTGGCAGTAGACGATGGCACGGAGGAGCGAGGGGCTGGATCGCTCAAGAGCGACGAAATCAAAGAGATCCTTGGGCTTGAGATGGTTTCTGATTTCGCCTGGAATTATGGCTGACGAGGAGACCACTCCAGAGCTGTGGAGCAGCGTTTTGCTGCCATCGTACAAGCCCTGCGCAACATGAGTTGATGTAGAGCTCTTGGCCACCGACTTGGAGATTTTCGACATTGTTGGAGATGGAGCAATAAACAAAGCTCAGGAGCTCTCCTGGGAAGAAGAACGCGTTTTTCTAGGCGGCAGCCCACACTCCGGATGAGCTCACCGGCGGGTAGAGCCCAGGGAGTGGGGTCGGCGGGAGACTCGACGTGCTGACTCTCCTTCGGCGCTCCGTCGTTCCCCGCCCTCCGACCGGCGGGTGCGGTCGACACCGTCTGTGGGGCTCGGCACCCCGAAAACCCACCACCGTCGTGCTATTGGCCACTGCTTCCAAGGGATTGGGAAGAAGAACGCGTTTCTAGGCGGCAAGCGCCAGGAAGCATCGTTTGATGCTAGAAGGTTCCTCTAGCTAAAACACATTGCTATTTGTCATGACCGCAAATATATAATTTCTCTTTCTCTAGCAAGTACACATGGATCCCCTCGTGCACAAGAGGCGCATCAGGAGCATGACTAGACCTGACTAGACTCTGGACTCGAGACTCTAGACTCTAGACCGCATACATGTCTAGAGTATGCTAAAGTTTCTTCGAGTTCTTTATGACTGCTGACTGTCTGTGAAGGTGATTGATGAGACCCTGAGACTGATTAACATTTCCCCGTTTGTCTTTCGGAGAGTTCTTAGCGACGTGCAGCTAAACGGTGAGTAAACTTCTAGAGAGCTTTTGAAAAGGATATATGCTTAACCAACGAATTCAAGATGGCGTTTGCCCTTCAGATTTAAATTTTTGGTACCGTACATTCTTGGCGATTCTAAAAATATACTCTAAATGTGTAGCTTTTGTCGCTTTGAGGGATACTTTGCAGCTAAAATCCGTGCCAGTGGGCCTTCCACTACGACCTGGAACGCACGTTATCAAGTGAGAATTTCTTTTTCTTCTCTTCTGGAATGGAAAAATTCCCACCTTTTGCCAAGCTATATTGACGGCGAGACTCGCGAGAATGATCCACCATAGCTTGAAACGGAAATCAAAGCTCATGGCCGGCGAAGGCTGTCCACCATTTTTCTGGAAGAAAACACGAAGAGATATGATTTAGTTGTGGAAAGAATGAGAGTTTTTTACCTGGTAAGACGCCCAAACTGGAGAGGCGGGGTTTGCATGGTTGAATTGCTCGCTTGCAACGTGCCATACTTCCGTGAACTTGTTGTGAGGAAGAAGCAGTAGACAAGAGCACACAGCGATCAATGACCAGTACGAAACCTGCGTGGAAAAGACTTAAGTGCTTGAAACTACTTGACAGTAGAAGACTTACCATCAAAGAGAGGTTTTTGAATACGGTCTTTCGAAACTTGGAGCCAAACGAGAACACGAATGCGGACGTGATGAACTGGAAATACATTGTGAAGAACAACACTGTGGACTCCCAGTTGTCACCCAGCGTCCACCAGCTTGCACCATGAGAGTATCTGAAACAAACGAGATTTTGAGCACGAACTTTACAAAACCAATCACTCACTGTGCCGGCCATCTCACGTAATCCTTCTGGCTTGCCATGAAACAAATT